TATATATATATCACATCAAGGGAGAATAATTTTTTGGACGATTTTAACTCCCCTACAATTTAATTATTTCATTAATACCTTACTTTTCGTTTTTCGATATGTAATAAATACTACATAATTATTGTCATTTATGAAATTTGTATTATTAATTCTCAATTAAATAACATTCACATTAACCTAGATTTAATAAATTTTCACTTGATGAATCTTGAATCACACGAATCTATAGTTATGATAGATGAATTTATTTATATTCATGTATCTAGAAATTTTAATGGGTGTTTAAATTTATATATTAACAATTAATTTTTATGTATCAAATGTAATATAAAAGATTGCTCATTTATAGTATTTCATCGTCACAAAAAATTTGAATAATAGAAATTGACTTTTGAGAGTACAATTTGAATACAATTTTTTCTCTTAAATTTCTATGCTAATTTTTTTTTTTTTTTATTCATCGGGACTCATCAAATCCTCCAAAAAATTGGTATCAAATATTATTTTTATATCACTTATAAAGTATTTTAGAATAATATGCAATGCACGTTCAACTTTGACTGGTTAATGTAAAAATTACATAGAAAATAAAAGCAAGCCATAACCCGAATCATTAAAATATGAAAAAAAATCTAGAAATCTTCAATTAAAGCCTTCATATCCAAATTCAAGTCATGAGTTCTTTGTTTTTTGATGTGAATACTCTCCGTTTTATCCCAAAATTAGGCTAGGAGGCGTCCTCCTCTTTTCTTGGTTGCTCTAGGTCTTTTAAAATGTTCACCTCATTGTTTCCATAAAAGTTTGAGTTAAATAAGTACAACTGATTCTGCTCAAGAAACCTTCCACGTGGCCACATAAGAGAGACAGGTGCGACCGCATAGAACATTTCAAAACTCGGGAAGGGTAGATGTGATTGCATCCCCAAAGGAGCGTATGCGATTTATTTCAAATTTCCAAATTGTATTGTCATCCCAAAATGTTTTCATTATGTTTTCTTGTTCCTTTTTCCACCCCTTCTCATTCGAGTGCTTTCATTTCTTGTTCAACCGATTCCCGGTATTTTCATAACTTGATATCGAAGTTTGGATTAACTTTTATCATTTGCATTGGTCCCCAAACATTCGATCTTTTTCAATTTGGTCCTTGTCGCTTCTTTTCTACAATTCCACCGTATTCATCGATGTAAACCTAGAACAAGCAAAACACAACAAATTAAGCTAATATTCTATATCTTTTTTCACTAAATATTCAAAAAAGACCCGAATAAGTGTATAAAATTCACTTATCACTACCAATGTAGCAGCCATAATTCCACATTACTAGTGAAAGAAAATATGACTCGTTTTGTAAGTTAAAGGACCATTCTCATTTGGTATGAAACCTTTTGGTGAAAGTCCAAGAATAAAATCATGTGAGCGAGGTTCAAAGTAGGCAATATTATACTTATACAAGTTGTATCCACGTGCTTTTTGTTCTTTTACTTTGTGGATCAGTCTTTAACCTACTTCCAAAGAATATATTGTACTTAACGTTTACATATTACGATGGAATTTCGTTTGCTTTTGTGTCGCTTATTGCAGACGAAGCACATCCATTGTAGAAGCATATTGGACAGGTGAGCTAGCGCTGCGACTAAAGTGGACTACACAAGATAATCTCGTAACTGGTGGATAAAAGGTAATTATAATTTGTTGATTTCAATGTTTTATAAAATACATAGATGGTTGATCTATTTGAGTTTGATTTGTCCATTTAAATTTTCATCTCTCTCTCTCTCTCTCTCTCTCTTGTACATGCTAGTCCACAATTAGTATGATCACCATCTCTATTGAAATGTTTTTCTCCCCATTTCCATTTTGCTTGCAATATATACAATAATTCATATGATGTTACATTGGACATTTGCAGGGGTACAATGCACAAATTTAGAGATATAAAAGAGATTCCTTACATTAATTTTTGGTTATTTTGGGAAAGAAAATTTATTTTGATTGTCTTGCTTGCCAATCAAAATAATGATATTTAGATAGGGAAAATTTGGCTTATCTACTTAGGCAACCATGGCTCAACCCGAGAAGAGCTCGAGCTGAACCTTATTTTTGGGCATTGGCCCGAGCCCGTCCATATAGCTTGCCAAAATTGCCTGTGAAACAGGCTGGTGAATATGGGCAAAAGCAGGTAGCTATACGCTGTATAGGCAGTTGCAGCATTGCAGTTGAAAAAAAATTCAGGACTGAAAAATAAAAGGAAAAAATAAAATAAAAAATGAGCCGACTCGGCTTATTAAAGCCTGGGTCAAGCTTTGGCTTGGCCCAAAAAAACCCAAGACATTTCATACCCGATTCATGATCTTCGGCTCACGAGCCAACTCGACTCTGCTTGTTTACATCCCTAGGAAAAATCACATATTTTGAACAGTGCGATTAACATTTTTTAACAAGTGAATTGAAATATTGGTCACTCATCGTCATATCCATATACACATGGGAATATAACTAAAATTAAATGTTAATAGTAGATTAAAATTTTGAAGTTAACCCGAGATAAATTATCAAAGTGGACTAAAATTTTCCAGCCAATTTCTCAAGAGAATTCAAACACAATTCAATTCCAATAACAGTTTGGGATGATTCTTGAAAAGTCGAGTAATTTTTTATACTATAAGTTGCTTTTGAACAACAATCAAATAATTCCATCTTTTTTTGGCTCAAGGGCTTGGTCCAACAATGCTCCAAAAACCGTCGTGATTAAATCAATACAGGCAGGCACTATGCCTTCAGAAATTTTTAAGTAACTTGACTGATTATAAGTTTCTGCAATTCTCAATGACACCTCTCTTATTCTGACACTAGCAATGCCTCGACAAATGCATCCTTGAGAAGAGGGTTTGAAGCTGCTATTCGCTGAGACGTGATGTCAAGATCTTTACCCGATCTGATACATAGAAATGGAAACTATAACTATAATCTTCAATGTAAACTGAAGTTCTATACACTAAAAGTTTCAGTTATGGTGCATCTGATAATCAAAATCAAAATGTCAACGGTGCTGCAAGTGAACATTTTCTTCGGTATGTTATCTGTTTATAGTTTGAAAGCTTGTTACTTACGGATCAAACACGACTCCTCCAGCTTCATTTACGATCACAGCACCAGCAGCTATATCCCTGAACAGGGCAATGAACTTTCAGATCATGTTTGATTACGACTGGATAGGACTAGACAACGCTATCAATTTAACTTATTTTTCTTCTTTAAGAACTCCAACTTCGAGCTCCTTCTACTCTAAACTAGTATGTGCCTATTTGGAGCTTTTCACAGTCAAAGTCAACCGTTTGCCGGTGGCAAGCACGAATGAGAAAGGGTGAATCAACCACCAAAGCTGTGGAAGTAGGGATTCAAGCGAAGAATATCCATAATCTGATAGCAGTGTAGAAAAGCTCAGCCCTAGACCTTGACCTCTCATCCTAGAAGGAGATTGGGTTCCTATTGCTACAAACAAGGGGTATCAAGGTTCACGTTCACTATGGACAGCAGGGACGGAAACTCTTACATTCCTCGTTATGACCCACAACCCATTGAATAAGTTCAGACATTGTCTTATAATATCTAATCCTCCACACCCAATATGTCATGCCAATAGCATCTAATGGATCATATACCAATCGAATATTTTAAAAAAACTAACCAAGGGCCTCCAAAACCAAGCTCGTAGAATAAATCGAGCCTTCCGCAAGCAACCCCACAGAGGTTCAATGCACAAGAACCAGTCATCCGGAGGGACCTAACCTGATCACAGGAGAAGGTAATATTCTCACCTATCTTTACAAAAACATTTTCCTCAAATCATTGTAATGAGCACCAAGGTTTACCTTGAAGAGTAAACTATGGATTCTATTGGTAGCTGCATCCAAAGTAGACTTGTCACGCTTTGTTCCTGCCTGTTCTCTCAGTTAAATAAAATTAGCTCTTCACAAGCATTATTAGAAAGCTAAAATTCATCAATACTCATAATACAAGGCTATTGATGCTCCCATTACACTGTAGAATACAAAACAATACGCGCTTGTTCCGAAAGCACCATGCAAGAATATGGTTAGTTGAGTACCTCTGTGGCGAGAAGTGACTTCAACAGCTCTGATTGAGAAGACACTGTGAATATGATAAAAGGCATAGTTAAATTCGCTATAAGATTATCCGAAGCCACTATCAAGTAGAGCTAGACTACATGAAGAGGCAACTTGCCTTTGATAGGTTTGCCATTCAGAAAAGCACCTTCTCCATGGATTGCAGTAAAAAGCTGCATATCAAAAGTCAAACAATAATTTCCGAGGATCTCATCATCTACATAAGCAATGATGAGTTACAGAAGCTAACCCTGTTGGTCAATATTTCTATACTTAGAATTGGAATAATTTTACCTCATCCATAATTGGATTGTAGACGACACCAATAGTTGGAATTCGTCTAATTGTTAGACCAATAGAGACGCAAACAAATGGAAACCTGCAAGTTGCCACAATTTAAATAACTCAGACGCTCAATGGGCAAAGGAAACTTTTCTATTGACAAAAGAAAAATAGAAGATGCTTGCCCGTGCACAAAGTTAGTTGTTCCATCCAAGGGATCAACTATCCAAGTGGGTTCGTCTGTCAATTCTGTAGCCCCACAAGCAGCAGTGGTTTCTTCTCCGATGAACTTAGATTAAAAGGGGAAAAAGAAAAACGATGTCAGTGAAAAGCATAAAATTTGAGCATATGAAGGAATAGTAACATAAGTTTATCCGAAACGGGGAAAGTGCAGACGAGATAGGAAAAACCTTATGATCGGGGTAGTGCAATTTGAGAAGACTGAATATGAGGTCTTCACATGTCTTATCAGTCCCTGTGACTAAATCCACCTATATAGAGAAACATGGTTTAGTGAAATATATTAATCTGTAAATCATTTGAAGCAAATAAAAGAAAAATAAAAAATAAAATCCACATTTTGATAGAGCTTTATTTTTTCTCTCCTTTGGGTTAATGTACTTGACATTTTTTTCCATATTTCTGACACATGGAACGTCTCTTCCTATGAACTAAACAACGGAAAATCTTCAGTAAATCTATTTAAAAAATTAACATTCTCATATGCTTTCTTTGCCACTTTCTCCAGTTCTTCTGCTCATTTAGGCAGCATATCATCAAGCATTGCTGATTAAAAGATCATGTCATTTCACTTACAATCATGATATGCTACACCAAATTATCAATATCCAATTTTTCCTCTTGACGAGGGAAATGAGAGCATAATCTATCAGTTGTAGTTTTGGCTATTGAACTAGCATAGACCTCCTCAATGCATACAGAATGTTCACTCGATTGACAAAGTCTATTTCTATTCATCTGGAGTCGTGATCATCGTCGTCTATGTGGAAGTGGCACTCTATAGTCTTCTTTAAATGGTAGAATTTATTCAAGCACATTTATTTTAATAGAATTCACATAATTACAACATTTCTTTACGGCATATTCTTCTATAAATGAAGCAGTGACTGTAGTCTGAAAACATATAGGTTCTAAGATTCAGCACGGAGTCATTGGATTGATTTTCATTTCCTAACCCAGAAATTAAATTATTAATTATTACACAAACACACATCATCCCAGGTAAACCTCCGGGTTTTTAAAATAATTAAAATTTATATATTAAGTCAAACTATACCAGTCCTTTGTGCTCCACATTCTTGGCCTTGTAGAATCCAGAACGAATAATCTGTGACCCAGATAATCAGAAACTGGCCAAAGCTGGAAAAATTAATGTAGAAAAATAAGAGAAAAAAAATTGTAAATAGAAGCTTGAGTATGAATCTGATTCACCTGCCCAGCATTCTTAGCTGCATCCACTGCCATAGCCAAGAATTCCTCCATCGAACCTGAAATTCCAAGAATCGCATCAATAAACAACCCACTTCAATCACACAATACATACACAAATGCATTGCATTTTTGGGTGTAAATTGCATATGTGAAGTACAGAGATTAATGGGCTCCCACCTTTTTGCGTCATTACTGAAGAGATGAGAAGACAAATGAAGAGATGGGGTATTTGCACTTGGTAGACCGTTGAAGCTTTTCGTTTCGTAAACAATATGAAATAACAAAAAACAGAGGCCAGTGATTTATTTATTTATAAGATAAATGCCCAATATTAAACAACCTTTAAATATGAGCAATTATTATTAGAATAATGTTATATATGGTGAGTGATTAAAATAATTGTCCTACTTGAAAAAAAAGGGGGTAAACAACAATCTTCAATAACAAAATTGTCTCTCTTTTAAATCGTCGTGCTGCTTTCCTTATATGCATGCTTACAGTTTTTAGACATTAGTTCAAGTTGAGAAACAAAAATATAGTTTTATAAAATTAGACAAATAAGGCTTACGAATTAACAGAAATTTGAAAATTTATGTGATTAAAGACTACACTTGTAATTATAATGAAAGATTAAGCATCAATTTGTTACCTAATCTGTAATGTTGGGATCAATAATGCAATGTTCAAAATATTTTAACCACGTAGTTGGATTCTTTTAATTTTAATTTTTTGGTTTATTATTGTTGGCACGCTAAAAGTGTAGCCCAAATCGAATAGTTCAAAGAATGAAGCTCAACTGGACAATTCAGGATAAAGGCTCAAATAGGGTTATTAATGAATAGTGTGGAAGCCCACGAACGAAGTAACATCATCGCCCAAACTTGCAAGACGCCCAAGATTTGAGCGAATGAAGTGCCTTGCAATCGCCCAGAGTTATGATCCTGTTCTCGCCCAGGATCTTAACAAACATAAGATGTTATGGTTATTCAAAAATGCAGTTATCAAAGCAGTTATTGAGTAATCTTATCACGTTCCACGATTCAAGAAGTTCAGTTGAAGACGGTTGAACGACAAAGAATAGTGGTAGAAGTTAGAGACAGCAGTTCCACGATAAGTTGGCCACCATGAAGAAAGTGGACAGTTATAAAGCAATTAAGCAGTTTCTAAGCGGTTGATCACGAAGAGATTATCAAAGGAATATAAAAGGAAGAAAAGACATAGAGCAGAGGACCCCGAATCAAACACTCTCAAACAGAGAATATGTAATTTCAATTTCTTAGTTTAGACTTAAACATTTCTTTTCAGTACTCGTGTGCTTGCGCCCCTTGGAGGTATTCTGTTTAAGTTTCGATTGTAAAGTCATCGCCAATAAGACATTCTTTTTTGGAACTTTGTTTCAAGAGGTTTGTTCCTTACACAATCGTCTGATCTCTTTTTAATTGTTAGCAACTACTCGCGCGAAACAATTATTTATTGGATGTTGGCCTTAGACAAAAAATAATGTTATGCAGTCCCATTAGGTTACAATTCCAATCTAGGTATCGTTTGATGATAAATCGTATGAAATGTGAAATTAAATGACTTATTTAATTTCACTTATCATTTAATGTCACGTTAGACAAAATTTTTTCAAGTCAACAATGGAAGATGAAAGGTATCAACTCATAAATACGGAATATGCCATGAATATTCAACTTTCTTCTCTCTCTCAGGAGCAAGCTCTACGCCACAGAAACAGTGGACAGAATTTTGTTTTAAATTCACAGCTTTCTCAATTATTTTCACTCTTATTTACAAATTTCAAAAATTACATTTACTTATACAACTAAATTTTATTATATACACCGCACCATATATAGATTAAACGATATTACAAAAAATTAGAGCTGAAAATTGACAGCTAGATATTGACCTAAATAGTTGAGCACGCCCAAATTAACTACTAATTTACAAGGAAATCCTTGAAAAATTTAGTAGCGGTTTATCTGTCCCAAAAACAAGAGCCCCTGCAACAAAAATAAACTTAGAATAAGTACATGCTTTATGTTTGTCTGCGCTTAAAAATAGCTTTTTCAGAAGCACGATTCTTTGAAAATTGAAAAATAGATTACCTAATGTTGGCATTAAAACGGACAAAGCCACAGTTCCAGCAATCTTTAGTGGCAACCCAGTTATAATCATATCATTGATTTCAATATGCCCAGTAGTGAATCCCACAATATTTGAAGGTGTTCCAGTTGGTAATAAGAAAGCAAATTGAGCTCCAATGGCACCAGGGACAATAAGAAGCAATGGGTGAACATGCATTGTTTGTGCAATTTGAATAAGAAGAGGGATAACGAGGGTGGTTGTGGCATTGTTTGATGTGAATTCTGTGATTGTCCCGCTGATGAGACATACGGCCGGGGTGATCGCTAAATACGGAACCTTCTCCAGGAAGTCGAGCGCCTCGGATAGCACATCGGCTAGGCCACTCGTTCGGACTCCATCGGCTATGGCGAAACCAGCCCCTAATAGTAATACAATGTTCCATGGTAGTTTCTTGCATTTGTTCCAGTCCATCAATTTCTCCCCTGGTTGCTTCTTGTTTGGAATTATGAATAATAAGGTTGCCATCATAACCTGAAAATGGGTTTTCGAAATTTCGTTCAAGAACACAAACACGAGATGAGAGAATACAAGTTACTCCGCGATTTTGAATTATTCTTTTTTTTTTGTGGTAAGTCAGTGATACTCACACTGGCAGTTCCATCACCAGCACGCCCATTGAATAGAGCACCCCAACCAGGTATATCATCAGTTATGTTCCTTGTCATCCATAACACTATTAATATCTGCAACAACTTTCTTATATTAATCACAACATTGTTGGCAAGTCAAAATTATAAAATAATTTGTACTAGTTTACTAAGGGTCCATTTAGCATAGTTTTTGCTTTTGCATCCACTTCTCGTAAAACAGCTTTCTGAATAAGTTTTTTTAAATCAACTTTTTTCTACAAACTTTTCTAGTTAGAAAAACACTTTCAAAATATTATCCAAACAGATTAAAAAAGACTTCTTAATTCTAAAAATAACTTTTGACTTTTAAAAGTCTTGTCAAACGGAGCCTATTTTACTAAAGTAATTATATGGGACTCACCGAAAATACAGCCAATACCATCTTTTCAGCAAATGCCATTGGACCTGCACAATTGGACAGACCATAACTACAGACAACAACTTGTAACTAAAATCTCTATTAGGAACTAAATTGAAGTATGGTAAATTACATTCTTGGTCCCTCAACTTTCACTATAATCTCAATTGAGTCATTTAACTTCAGTTTTGTGCACAATTCATCACAAGTCAGAGTTTGTCGTTAGTTTAAAAGAAGGTCGTCGTGTTTTACAACGGTCAACTTCTTTTGAGTTCCAATACCAATAACTAAATCAGAATGAATTATGTTATCTAGTATCAGTAATATTAAACACTATTTTAGATGTCAATGTATTATATGTCTCATTAAATGAGTCATATAATTTAATACCATAAGTAATGTTGAACACCACTGCTACTTAATAGCATCTTGATTAGAATTAGGAGTTGAGAGTTTACCTAGCAATTCGAGTTCCCTCTTCAAATGGGCTTTGTCCAAATAGGCAGAGAGAGCCTCTCCAGAACCCTTTCTGATATACAAGCAGCAAAGTATGCACCACAGAGCAATAAATATCACCACTGCCAGTGGGAAACCAAAGAAAAACCAAGTACTGAAGCTAATAGGATCAGCTTCAGGAAAATAACTCTTCCACATGCCAACCAATATGAGGTTGACACCCGTTCCAGTAAGTGTACTCATCCCTCCAATTGCCGCAGAGTATATTACCCCCAAAACAACTGCTTTACAGAATTTGGAAACAAGATTTGACTGAGTGGGACCCGTTGGTAACCTCTGTAGAATTCCAGTGGCCACTGGCATCATCATCACAGCTGCTGCCACGTTGTGCATCCACATACTCACGAATGCTGTCGTGGCACATATTCCAAGTAGGAGAAGTGGTGGGCTCAATGGATCACCACAAAATAGGATTGTGATCTGTGGGATTCATACGCACAAACTGTTGGATAATGTTTGACTTGTGGCTACCGTGAAACTTATTAAAGTCGTGCACGATTTTTATAAATAAACGTGACATGCTTGGATTGATGCCGTGATCAACTCCTGTATTTAAAAACTACACGTATTTTGATATATGATATGACAACCACTGCACGCCCTATTTTAATTTGGACATATAAATATGTGTGAGACCAACCAGAGTGAAGAATCCTTGATATTGATTAAAGGGTGAGTTATGCTTCATGTCCATTATGGTCATAATATACAAGTAACGTAATATTATTGGAGCTCCAATTATGAAATTCCATATGTAGAATTATCCTTAAAGGGTTGTGAGAAGATTTTGACATGGACGAATGTATAAGATAAAAGAGTGTTAGTTGGACATTTTATACGAGGAAAAAATTGGGAAATTTCAAAACAGCAATTAATAAAGTACACTTACATTCAAGGCTAACCTCCTATGAATATTGTAATGCTCAACAGCAAGTGCAAGAATGAAGCTTCCAATAACAAGCGCAATTACATCATCCATGTAAGCATGGGCGACATCATCTGCGTCTGAAATTCCGAAGAGCGGAAATAGAAACAGGGGAGACATCGAAGTTACAGGCATTGGCACCGCCTCCGTCAGCCACCAAGAGAACACCCACGCCAGAACCGCCAGCATATTTCTGCTGGCGTCCTTGCCGCCATCAATGTTTACACTCAGAGAGATTATGCCGCAGAGTAATGGTCCCAGCAAAATGAAGAAATTTTTCAGAGTGAAAATGGATTGAAAACATGAATTGAGACTCTGTGATCTGTGAATTGGAAGAAGAGGGACTTTCGGGTCGTCCGAGGTTGCATGAGGCGTTTGATTGCCATCCATTTTGGAGGAGAGAGGTGGAAGAAGAAATGTTATAAGGCTGGGTGGTGTAATTGGAGACTACTGCTTTATAGTTTTTATATGCTAATCAGGAAGGTGGAAGAAATAGAAGAAAAATTTTGAGTTTTCTTTTTATTTTGGCCAGCTGGAATTTGTAACATAACTGCAGAGTACACGTCAGATTTTTATTACAAATTAATTTTCCTTAAACCGCCGATCCATTGAACATGTGACCAGTTGGTCTGAATCTGTAATTTTGTGTCCGCAGTCCCGAACCTTTTTAGTTTTGTATCACTTGAGTCTCTAATGGAAAAAAAAGAAAAAAGATAAACGAAATACAAAACCCACCAA